ATCAAACATGATTCCATCAACGCAACAAATTGTCACTATATCATAGTTCTTTAGAAACCAATACAAACATTTGATTCCATTCCAACCTTTTAGAAGCTTACATATTGATTTATTTATTTATTACAACCACCTGGACCCTTCCTAACACTTTGTTGATTCACATGCATCAAGAACATCGCTAAAATCTATAGATATTGTACTTTACTGAAAACCATATGCAATAAGTTAGTTATTTTTATGAGAACTATATGGATATGCCAACGTAGTGATATATCGGTACAGATAATTACCGTGGCGTCAAGGGCGACATGTTTAGCACCTAAATATTTGATTCACAGCGAATTCACGACCATTAGACAGTACAATTCCGCCAGTGTTAAACATAAAGCTAGTGGATTATTGCACAGCCCTTGAAGAGGAACGATATTCGTGTTTTTAGATTGTTAAGTCACGTACAACAAAAGAACACAACATTTTCTAGAATGGAACTTTCAATGTTCTCAATGGAAAACCTTACACAACAAAGCTTTTAAAGGGCCAGAGCAGCGACCAATCTGGAAAGTAAAGGCTATGATTACAGAAGAGAACTTTTCGACCCAAAACGTCATTGCAGTGCAATTGGGCATATCTCATGCTAATGTTAACAAGATAATAAACAAGGATTTAAAGTTCACGAAGGCTCACGAGCTTTCAACCATACCACAGAATCAACGTATGTTTTCATTGAAAAGATAGCTGAAGAAACTGGAATAATAACAATTCAGTTATACCAACTATTTGTCAAATCCCTCAATGCAACTGCAGTGGATTTTTGTGACTTTGGTCCGCTTAAACTTGGTCTTATAAGTTGATATGTGCGTACAATGGAGAGTCTGTAGAAAACTTATCAAGACGTGTAGTCTAAGGTTGACCTCGCAATCCTTTCCCGAAATATTTTTCTGTCAAATATTTTGGTGTCTGGCAATATTGAGTATTCGTGATCATCAGACTGAGTAAGATTGAAAATTGAGTAATCTTGGCCATCAGACTGAGTAAGATTGCAGATTGAGTAATCATGACCATCAGACTAAGTAAAATTGAAGATTGAGTAATCACGACCATCAGACTAAGTAAGATTGAAGAGTGAGTAATCATGGCCATCAGACTAAGTATGATTGAATATTGAGTAATTATGGCCATCAGACTAAGTATGATTGAAAATTGAGTAATCATGACCATCAGACTAAGTAAGATTGAAGATTGAGTAATCACGACCATCAGACTAAGTAAGATTGAAAAGTGAGTAATCATGACCATCAGACTAAGTAAGATTGAAGATTGAGTAATCACGACCATCAGAATAAGTATGATTGAAGATTACTCAATCTTCAATCTTACTTAGTCTGATGGTCATGATTACTCAATCTGCAATCTTACTCAGTCTGATGGCCAAGATTACTCAATTTTCAATCATACTTAGTCTGATGGCCATAATTACTCAATCACGACCATCAGACTAAGTAAGATTGAAAAGTGAGTAATCATGGCCATCAGACTAAGTATAATTGAAGATTGAGTAATCATGGCCATGAGACTAAGTAAGGTTGAAGATTGAGTAATCATGACCATCAGACTAAGTAAGATTGAAGATTGAGTAATCATGACCATCAGACTAAGTATGATTGAAGATTGAGTAATTATGACCATCAGACTAAGTATGATTGAAGATTGAGTAATCATGACCATTAGACTAAGTAAGATTGAAGATTGAGTAATCATGGCCATCAGATTAAGAAGAACGAAATATAAAACATCATTATTTTAAAATGCAACCATTCATTAGCATAGAATTTTAATAATACTGCGATATTTTAATATCTGGATAATTCTAGCGGAATTATCCTCTACTAACATCTAGCATACAACGTTATGATTATATCGTGTTCTCTGATAAACCTGCTAAATTCTAGTGAAAGAATGTTTAATGGCATCCAGTATACAATGTTATGATGACATAATTTACCCCGAAAAACCTGTTAACTTCTAGTGAAATTATCTACTACTGACAACCAGTATATCACATTATGATTATGCTCTTTTGAAACACTTCACAACTCGCATGTTTCATTATTTATTTAGAGGCTATTTATAAACGATGTTCCTTATTTTAGTGCTATAATAATACTTCTTACACAGACGTTTGATTGTATTGTGTGTCATCAATATTCCAAGTACTTCTTATGCCAGGTATAAATACTTGGAATCTTAGAACCTGTGAACATCATAGTTTTCTCGTACACTGCAGATGGCATTTCCGTTATCTGGTACAATAATAGTTTACATCAAACTTCTAGTTCACTTCAGATCACAATATAGGGTCATTTTTAAGTAACTAACCTTTTGGATTAGGCCTTCACGACGGAAGCTCTCTGCTTTTTTCTGGATCAACGTCACAAGTTTGCACAAAATTACACCGTTGTCAAGAACATTCATGAAATTCTCCACCGTGATGATGTTTATACCTTGGAGAAAAAAAATCAACATTCATTACTGACCAGTTTTAGTGTAAAGAAAGGTTTAAGTGTGCGGTCATTTCCAAAATATCTAAGTGTTAAGATGATAAAAACGTTCCATTAGAAATTTACAAGGAAATGAAATATTATATATCTTTTAAAATTGCAGATAATATATTAGTTTACCTCTCCACCTATTTTACAAACCTCAAGTAAGTTATTTAGCAAGTTTATTATGTTACCTTTTTAGCACATGAGTAATGAGTAACTAAACACGTAAATGTGAAGTTTTATTTTTTTGCGAGAAGATATGATATATGGTAATGCATAATGTTTGCAATTCGAGGCTTAAATATTTCTATGGAAGCTTTAGTATTATTTTTGGTGGTTCTTTTCTTTAGATTTCATAAATTTTTACAAAGTTGTTTAACTTTAAAGCTAGATAAAAAATCAGTAAGAAAGTGAACTCTTTTTCTTTTATATGAACTTTGTTTTTTCTAAAATTAACAGTTGGTATAATCAAGTTGTACTTACTCAATGTTTTATTTATCCATTTCGATAAAAGGTCTTTCTGTGATTCCAAAATTTTCTGTCGGCGCTCGTCAATCAACATAACGACTGGGTTTCAAAATACTTACTACAAAATTTTGTTGAAGTAAAGTTATAAAAAAAAACAATGTATGTTTTAAGAAAAGTACCAATTGCAAGCTCAGCCGTACATAGGAAACCAAACAGAGATCGTTAAATAACACGTGCAGATTAACTTTCAGTACAAAAGGCTTTCATTACCCGGTTGACCAATTACACAAAATGTATTACAAACAACTAACACTACCAGTTTGTTGTAGGCGTCTTGATTAAAAAGTATTAAGAAAACTCATTATGTAAAAGAACTTGATGTAGATCTCTTAGATACACGTAAAAAGAAGCCTCGAATCGCTTTGATTAATAATTCAACGAAGTAAAAAGATTTGGATTTTCCTATGAGCTCAACAAAGAAGCTTCTATTTCAGTGAAGTTTGGCTAGTTGCTCCATCATACTAGAAACTAAAGTCCTTATATACTTGGATGAAACTACAGTCATGGACACAAATACAAAAGTCGCAACTAGATTCAAGACAAAATTGTTTCAATATAATTTTGAATGCTATTGCCAAGAAGGCAGATGTAGTTACTTTTCGTTCTTTCCAATGCCGTGAAGAGTGAAAACCGGTTTAAAGTACACGGTCACAGTTTCTGTTGGATAATCTATGTTGTATTACCATATGGGAAGTGACTTCCCACTTGTTGCTGTTCTCCTCAACAACCTGCAGTCATTATCAACCACTCTACTGATCTATGTTCGACACGAACTGCAGCGACCCCTAACCTGCATGTAAACTATAACTTAGTCACACTTGCTCTTGGATTGCCCAAGTGGATACTTCGTTTAGAAGGATTTATAACAAGAAAATCATACAAAGCATACAAGTACATCGCAGGTAATCCTTTGCGTATGGCAATAAGAGTTACAGCATTTAATTAACTTAATAATACCATTTGTCTGGCACAAGTTATTTTCTGCACAAAGTAATAACAATCTTAAGCAATAATAGATATATTATTGACTTATTCAGTATTTTGTAGTTTTTCTAAACAGTAATTTTTTCTTCTTATAAATTTGTTGCACTCCTACTGGACATTTCGTTGGACAGAAGTTCAGTAGGTAATTCAAAGGTGATGTCATCTGTTTCTGATTTTCAATGTCCTAGTCTTAGCATAAATTAGTTTTGTTTTTTGCATCTAATATAAACAATTTCTTATATCTAACTTTTCAGTGTTGCGTTTTATCTAAATTTGAAAGTGCCCCAGCTTATATGATATATTATAATTAGATAGTTGTTTTATGTTCCTTGTTTCTTCTGTGGAAAAGCCTTTCAATTCGATTATAGTACTGAAAACCACTATTAGTACTAAGAAAAAAAGAGCCTCACTGGTAGCGGCTTGAAGCACGCAAAGTGTGTTGACAGAATGCTATTATGTTCTTCTTAATGAAAATTTATATACCAGGAAATGAATATTTGTTACGCATTCTTATCATTCTTACTGTGATGTAAAATTATACAAAACATTGTTATTGGGTGTAAAAATATTGATTGTTGATCAACATGAGTGACTATTGTTGGATGATGACAACGTGACGTTTTGTTTTCATTCCACAAACTAAGGCATGAAGAAATGGACCTTTGAAGAAAATAATATTGTATATTGTAAGAAAATATTTTATGTAATACAATAGTATTTTTCATTCTCTTTATAACGGATTGCGCTAGAACACTATACTTAAAATGTTATAAAACTGTCGAGTTTATCCATGAGGGTTTGAGTTTTTTATAACTCTGAAACATTTAATTGTCAATGTATCCGTGAGTTAATTATTAAGTGTCTCATAATAACATTTTCAAGATTGAATTTACACTGACGATAAATCTTTAGGATTCTGATTTAAATTCACTTATTATATAACTAAGCAGACGATGGACTTGAAAAAGTTTAATCCAGTTTAATACCCTTTAAGATCCCCGTCAAATACAACACTGTTTTTGTTTCTTGTATAAAAAGTAGCGGATTAAGAAAATGGGGTTGACAACTAAGCTTACTCTTTTTATTCATTGTGCTTGGGTAAAAATCCATATGAGTACAAGGGCGTATTTGTTCAACATTTTCAGCACGCTATATAGAACTGATATCATAGTTACCAAGTAGACGTCCAAAAGGTACAAAAATTAGAATAACGAGTAAATACTGTAGTTTTTATTTCAGAAAAAGCTGATATATTTCTTTTTAACATTTTATCCAGAATCATGAAAAATATGTGTACAACAAGAAAATCTCAAATAAAACTTTTCTATAACATATAAAATATGCCATTTATAGTTTATTTTTATGCTATTATTATATGCAGTTTGATCAACAATACTAGCATATTTATATGTTGGATTACGTTTGTTAAACTGAATTAATGTAAGCGAATTTCAAATTGCGTTTTTCTTAAGTTGACAGATTAATTATTTTTACAGTTTTTATTTCATTCAAGTAATCATACAAGTACAAAGAGGCTGTACTAAGAATAATTCTAATACTTGGAACAAATAATTTAAAATATAGCTTTATAACAGAAACGCTAAAATATTTTCTACAGTATTTGATTTCTGTAAATGTAATTAGTTATTTTGTTTTACAAACAATGATAATAATTAAATGTTTATGAAAGAAAAATATGTGACCATTTTACAAATAACTTAATTATTTTGTACAGTTTTCACATATTCAAAATATAAAGAGTATTTTTTGAATGAAGTATTTGTCACGATAGCGATTCATGCCATTGTAAATACATTTCAAATTTCCTTTGATCACTACAATGCTTAGTATTGTTCAAAGTTATAATATCTGATACAATATATGACAGACAAGTATAAAACGAGACCTAAAAAAGAAACCACACTCTTCTTGCTTTTCGTTCATTTGCTCCAGCCCACAAATAAAATAACAATCACTGTAAAATGAGGGCTTTCTCTAAAATTAATTTGCTATTCTTTTTTTCCCGGCAAGATCAGAGATAATCTTGTTTGAAAGTCATAATTAGCATGAAACCAACCAAACAACTTCTGGGAGTTATTTTTGTAGGTTTTCAGTTATATTATCGATTGGAATATATTTAGTTGTTCTGTTTTTTGCACTTGTTTAAAAACCAAAAAAGCATACGCATAAAGTTTTTATCTATTCAACACTAACGTATTTTAATTGATCTAGTGCCCGTGTAAGGTTCAACTCGTCCAACAGAGTGGATGAACAGCACTAGTCATTAAATAATTTGACAACAGTGTCTTCTTTCAGGCGACTAAATGTTTTCATTAGATAATCTGAACCAAAATAAATTTTAGAGTGAATATGCTCAAAAACGTTTTTTGTTTTTCATTTAAAAAGGTTATAACTGCAAGGCCTGTAACATAAAGTTATTAGTGCTTGACTGTCTGACAATGTACATGATTCGATCTCCACTGTTAAAAAATGCGCATGGATGCAGCCACACATACGTGTCTCGATCTTAAATGTGCATGGATGCAGCCACACATACGTGTCTCGATGTTAAATATATCAAACATAAACATATGATCCACATAATTTTTTTTTCTTATACGAAAAAGGTTATTTTGCTACACTCTAGTATTTTGGATGAATATCACAAATGAATCTATCAGTCATTCTTACATAATAGTTTGTTTATACATGCTACAAACTAACTTATAATTGTTTTGAAGAAAACAAACAAATTCGAAGTAGAGAAAAATAATCAGTTACTGGTATAAGACACATTGAATAAATATCCTTACCATAACCAGTTAGTAACTAGTTTAATGTTAACTTCGATCAGCTCAGCTAGATCGATAACAAAGACTCTCTCACAGAAATCTTTTTTATATTATAAGCAGCAGAATGAGTTATACTCTTTATTTTATTTCTTATACATTCACCTTTATATTTTATCATTATTAAAAAGTATTTGAGACTGACTAGGTTTCCAGTTAGATTCTTGCACTCAAGCTTTTCCAATCCAATTTTGAAGTCATTTTAAGGATCAGTTGTACGAACAAGTTTCGAATAAATCAAATCACATCAATGCAGCTGATTTGATAATCTCCAAATGAAGAAATAAGACTTACCAACAGTTCTGTTTATCCACTCAGCCAAATCTTCCTTCAAGGGAACTAAATTTTCATCTTGTTTTCTTGCTATGTGCAACTGCACATCATCCCACATGTGTTGGTCCGACATGGTTTCGTATATATATATATTATTTAAATTAACGACAAGTATCCACTTAGTTTGAGATAATCTATAATAGAAGTAAAAATTAAGTGAAACATAAAACATTTACGCCAATGTTACTTTTTCAGTGTCTGTTGAGAAAGAAATAAAAGTCTATAACAAAAGAAAAATTTGGTAAAATAGTTTTATTTTAAGCTCTCTGTTCAAGAAAAATTACAGCAAAACCAGAGACAAAACCAACAGTTTTACTATATTTTATCAAAACCTTTGGTGTTTATTATATTTTGAAAGTCCAGTTTTAAATACATTTCGAACACTCCATGCCCTTGTGTAAGTATTATTTTCAGTCTTACTCTTAAAAGGTTCATAAAAACGGTAATAATTCAACCGATTTCGTAGGAATGCCCTATCTTTGAATTAATTTGGACATTTTAAAGTTTTTTATACTAAATTCATGTTTTTTAAAACTTTTTACGAACATTTACTAAGATTGTTAGCGGCTAATGACATTATTTTGATGTAGAATTTTAAGTATAATAGTTATCTTGATTTTACACCCACAGTCACCGATGGATTCAATTCCTGTTTTAAACGCATATTTCGTATTTTATTTTAAGTGTTTTCATGTCAGCGAGATATTTCAGGCTATTTTATATAAACTAACAATAGCAAGCATATAAGAGATGAAATCCCTTTAGAAGGTTAAATTACATTAATTCAAGCTATAAACTAACAATAGCAAGCATATAAGAGATGAAATCTCTTTAGAAGGTCAAATTTCATTAATTCAAGCTATAAAATAACAATAGCAAGCATATAAGAGATGAAATCCCTTTAGAAGGTTAAGTTACATTAATTCAAGCTATAAACTAACAATAGCAAGCATATTAGAGATGAAATCCCTTTAGAAGGTTAAATTTCATTAATTCAAGCTATAAACTAACAATAGCAAGCATATAAGAGATGAAATCCCTTTAGAAGGTTAAGTTACATTAATTCAAGCTATAAACTAACAAGCATATAAGAGATGAAATACCTTTAGAAGGTTAAGTTACATTGATTCAAGCTATAAACTAACAATGGCAAGCATATAAGAGATGAAATAATTAATGTAATTTAACCTTCTAAAGGGCAAGCTATAAACTAACAATGGCAAACATGTAAGAGATGAAATCCCGTTAGAAGATTAAATTATACTAGTTTTCATAAATCTACAAAACTAGTTATTGATATTTTATTTGTTCTTTAGAGATTCTGAGCATTTGGCAATAACTAATGAGTATAATAACAAAAACCCAATAAAACAACTGGGATAACACATCGTCTCCGCATTACATTACATAACCCAAGTTTCAATGTGTTTGTTTGTAATTTAAGCACAAAGTTACACAATGGGCTATCTGTGCTTTGCCCAGTGAGTCCAGCCCACAGACATAATGCTGTGCCACTAAGGGGGGGGGGGGATAAACGGAATGCTTCTTATAACACTAATCACTGTGTACCAACTATTACAATTTTGCAGGAAGTTATTCATTGTAACATATACAGCGCTACAAAGTATAATAATTCATCTAGATGGCACCCAAAATAACGGCCAGGATGGAAAATATTATTAATTGACAATAAAAAATACATCTACTTTATAATCATATGAATGTTAGGGTATAATCTGTGATTTCAGTTGAACATTTCCCCCTCACCCCATAAAACTAAAGAACATGTTCATATGATGGGGAAAATTTAAAACCCCATGTGAAATTTGTGTGCAGCCTTCTTGTCATGTTTTTAGAAATAAAAAAGACGTAATTTTATTTCCAACTTTTATTTCTACAAATAATAATATTCAAGTTAAAATTCAACATCTCAAGCAATTTGGGCTTAAATATGTTCTAATCTTATAAATTACTCGGATAACCACATGCATATCAAATATATTTCTGCCAACTTCGATAACTAGATACGATAACATTTTAAATTATTTATTTGTTTATGCCGTTCAGTACATAATAATGTAAAGTAAACCCAGCCTTACAGTTATGCGCAGGCCTAAATGACAATGACAAGAAACATTAACACCAAAAATATTAGGATATTTAAACAGTAACTACACTAGCATTATACTGGAGACATTCAGTGACTTGGCGTTAAATCACACCATATTAAACAACGCAGTAAATACAGTATTAATTTCAAACGAACAATGTGTAATGCATTGAAAGAAGAAAACATTTCTGATACATAACATGTAACCAGTAAGGCTTCAGAAACTGTATAAACAGTTTCAGTTGAAACAACAGTCGTATACAGATGTACTTTCCACCCCTTCCGACAAATCTTAGAATGTTCCATTATATCGTAAATTTGGTACCAATAGCATAAATCTTATTTTCACAACGACACTTTCAACTGCTTTACTTCATGAATTATTTATCTTTTCTTGTTAAATCTTATGCTGTATGAGAGAAACCCTCTCACACACGGATATAATAAATGATTTAATGGGCTTTGCTACTAGGTGGTACGCAGAGGAATTTTTCTTTCGCTCTCGGCTATACTGAATTCCCTTTATCGGTTGTATTACATATGCTCTAGTCACATATTTAGGACAGTAAATATTGCCGTTGTTAATTTTTTTCTTCAATAATATTTAAAACGTTCATATTCCAGGAGGAAAGCTAGATTAAAATAGCATTAGCGTACAAAACGTTTCGAGTCATTAATCACTCCATACAAACTGGAATTTAATGTTGTTGTTTTGCCAGAACACATATATCTTGAATATTATTCAATAAATACAAATGAAGTTAAAATTAAGGTCAAACTACTCTATAACTACAAGAAGAGAATTATAATAAAATCTACAATACTTATAGAGCTAATAAACCATGTTAATGAAACATTCAAAATACAAGTCGTAAACACAAATTATTTGTATTATCAGAAACACTTCATAATATATTTCTAAGCTAGAAATGTTCTGACTTCGTTATACTCCCAGCAAAGCGTACGGCTAACGTTATATTCCTTTGAAATGCACTGAAAAGCTATCATTATAGACGTAGATTTTGTCAGTTTTTCTTGTTTTGTTTTACTGTCCATATCGCGCCCAGTCAAGTAAAACATTTAGTTAAAATGAGTTTTACGGGCGAAGCTGCAATCAACAAGTAAGTTATAAAACCGAAACAGTTAACTTGCAGATAAATACAAATAACGTGAACAGCAAGTAGAGAGACTGGCAAAGGTGTTTAAGCATTACAACAAAACATTATTTATCATCACACAATAATGTGTTGATACAATATTAATTAGATGCTCTCTGTTGTCCTGAATAATACTAGTAGTTATTGAAGCGGGAGAAAACTTTGCTACACTCTACCAAGGCAGGAATAATTGTGTCGTTATCGCACTTTTGGGTCAGAGTCTTTGTGCAGTATCCTCCAATTCTAGACAATCTAAGTCAGCTATCATTTTTATTACACATTTTAAGGAAAATAAACTCCTTACTCATTCTAACCTCTACAAATATTTGCATCGCCTCTTCAACGAATATGGCCTGTATACCATGAGGATACATCACAAGTGCTTGCCTGGTGAATATAAAAACCCTAGAATGACCACTATATCACGTATTACTTATGCTCCAGTCAATGGTCTGAAGCGGTGATTCAGGTCACTCCACATCTATCTCACTAACTCAACACATTTGTATGAAATAGTTTAGAATTTTCCCAAATATACATAAACCAAGACATATTCTCATTAAAAAAAAAGAAGCTCACAACTAGCAGAAGGTAGACCTCAAACAAAGCAGGATAAAACTAAAATTGTGGTAAAGTAACTGAAAATAATGCGGGTGTGGAAAAAGTATTCCTGTGTGCAAATAAAGGAAAATACCCAAACGACAGGAATATAACTTAAATACATAATTAGAATAAATAGTATTATGACAAAATAAGTAGTACTCATGCAGGTAAACACTTAAGAATTAAGATGAAACACAACAATATATATAGTTTATAACTCAAAACACATTATAAATCAGATACAACAAGAACAAATTAAATAAAAGCGATGTCCATAAAACATGGAAAAGATTACGAACAGATATGAACCATAATTTAAGATAAGACTTATAAAAATATATATACATATCTTGAAACTAACTAGTGTAGGAAAACAAATACACAAATTCAAAACACAGGATGAAAAATTAGCATAATCAGCAGAGTACTAGTAAGTAAAAAAAAAGTAAATTGAACAATCTAAACTAAAAAGTAACACAATGAAAATTCAGAAAAGAAAGAAAATCTAATGAAAATAGCTTGGGTCATCATAATGGAACAGAAATAAATGTAAAACATGAAATTTGATAAAAAAAAAGAATTAAGTAGTTAAAACTAAAAGTACAAACAAATTATATTTTACACAAAATTATATTAGGTCGTCAAGAAATTAATGTAGCGTTTTGGAACACTTTCATTACCCCCCCCCCCAAAAAAACTACATCACGTATAATAGTTAAACGAACCACATAAACGTCACGTTAGTGTAACCTATATAATGTGTAAAGTTTAGTATACTCTAATCCCTTATAGTGATGGCACGCGACGAGACACACATTCGGCATGTAATGCTGTTTGAATACAAGAAGGGAAACAACGCCTCTGTTGTCACAAAGAATATCAAAGAAGTTTATGGAAATGTTTTGAACGTTCGCATGGTTCAGCAAATTTCGTTCAGGTGACTGTAGCCTTAAAAACTGTGATGGCAGGGGCCGACATATTGGAATTGATATTGATGCTCTGAAGATGCTTGTTGAGTCTAACCCAAGGCAACACACTCGTGAAATGGCCCTGAAATGGCATTTCTCTCATGAAACAATACGTAAACGTGAAAGAAATATGGGAAAATTCCATAATGAAGGTGCGTGGGTGCCTCACGAACTCTCCGATGATCATCGTTTCCAACATGTGAACGTTGCTTTGTCTCTTCTGGAGCATAATGCGCGTAAACTATTTTTGGACACAATTGTTACCGGTGATGAAAAATGGATTATCTATGTGAATA